GATATTCCCCTCATGCAGGGCAACTCTCTTTGCTGTGCTGCTGCACTGCCTGTGTGCAAGGGGCCAGAGAGGGAACAGTGCAGCTTCTCTGCTTGTCTCTAGCTGACTTTTCAACGGACTCTTGTGTGAGACTGGGAGCTTCTATCACCCCTACTGCCTTAGCCCATAGCCACCTCTGAGTCCCCTTAAGTCAGCCCCTCATGCACTGCCTGCCAAGCTCGACAGCCAGCCCTGCCCCCAAGGTCTGCCCCATTGCCACATGGTTTTCTGACTTGGCCCCACTTGGTCTGCCGCCTTACTGGTCTGGTTGTTCTGGTTGATTTTTTCCTTAATTCCTTCATTTTCAGAGTTCCAGTTTGATTTTCTGGCACTTTTGGTTTTTTATTGATTTCAGATTGGTTTTTATCCTCCTTTTGGTTGTGTGAGGAAGCAAAGGGTCTCTACCTATGCCTCCTTCTTTGTTGTTACTTCCCTTTTGCTTTCTCTTCTCTCTGAAGCTCTTTATTTCTCCTTTGATTCTGATAGCTTTTTCTGTGTAGTGCAATAGTGGTTGTGCACCATACTGTTTTCCCTTGTGGTTGTACCATGTTGCATTCCCACCAACAGTGTACAAGTTTCCCAATTTCTATATCCCTCTCTCCATCTCCCTTCCTCCTTCCCTCCCTCCCTCCATGGCTTCCTTCCTTCCTCCCTCCCTCCCTCCCTCTCTCTCTTTCTCTCTCTCTCTTTCTTTCTCTCTCTCTCTCTCTCTTCTTTCTTTCTTTCTTTTTTCTTTTCTTTTTTCTCTTTTGTAGTGGACTCCTAACAGGTGTGAGGAGTATCTCATAATGGTTTTGATACACATTTCCCTGATGATTAGTGATATTGCGTATCTTATTATGTACTTAGCCATTCATATATCTCCTGTGGAGAAATGTCTATTCAAATCCTTTCCCTATTTTCAAATTGGGTTGTCTGTTTTTTGTTGTTAATACTTAGTTCTTCTCTGTATATTATGTATATTAATCCCTTATCAAATATATGATTTGCAAATATTTTCTCCCATTCTGTGCCTTGTGTTTTTATCCTATTGAGAGTGTTTTGATGCACAGCACTTTTTAATTTTCATGGAATCCAATTTGTCTGTTTTTTCTTTGTTGTCTGTGTTGTTGGTATCATGTCCAGTAAATCATTGCCACATCCAATGTCATAAAGATTTTCATCTTGGAGTTTTATAGATTTAGGTTTTACATTTAGATCTTTGATATATTTTTAATAATTTTTTGTATATGATGTAATATATGGGTCTAATTTTGTTTCCATGCATATATCCACTTTCCCCAGAACCATTTGTTAAAAAACTCTGTCCTTTCTCCATTGAATGGTTTTGGTACATTTGCCAAAATTCATTTCACATATATGTGAAGCTTTATTTGTGGGCTTTCTAATTGCTTTCTGTTGATCTGTTTGTTTGTCTTTATGCCAGTACCATGCTTTTTGATTACTGCAATAAAAGTATTTTTGGATCATAAGACGCACCTAGGTTTTAGAGGAGGAAAAACAGTTTTAAAGCAAAAAATATGGTAAAATATTTAATAACATAAATAACATAATATTTCACCAATGTAAATGTAAACAGAATTAAACAGCAGCATTAACCGCCATTATTCCTCCCAAATTTGGGGTTGGGGGGAGTGCATCTTACAGTCCAAAAAATACGTACTTTCAATGTTATAATTATTTTTTCCTTGTTACATATTTTAATCTGTCCTGTTATAACCTACAGCCCAGCCTCTTAAAAGTTTGTGTTTCACTTATTTCTTACTCTCTTACTCTAATTCATACTTCATTGCTTTTTTCACTTTTCCTCTCACTGCTCCTCTGAAATTGTTGTTGCTGAGATTATCAAAGATCTCCAAAATTTCAAACCCAGTGGATGCTTCTGTATTTTTATATTGCCTGATTGTTGTGGCCCTCCTTGAAATAGTATTTATCTCTCTCTCAAACTCTCTTTCTGGAGTATCACATTGTTGTAAGTATATATATATTTTTAACCTCAGTTTTCTTTGGTATTCATTTTACCAGCCTTCTGCTTGTCTTTGGGTATACAATACACTCTTTGGTTGACTTTTTTAGGTAGATCAAGCCATATGCTATTTCCTGCAGTGGTGATTCCTTAAACTAGAGATTTATAACTTGCTACCATTTCCTTTCAGCAATAACTATATCATTCTAAATTATACAAGAGTCTGTATGAATGGTACAAGTTTTATTTAACTGACCTACTAAGTTCTTCCATTGGTCCTCCTTGCTTTTCACTATAGGATTTCACTTGGAAATTTAATTCATCTTCATAGTTTTAATCATCATTTTTAGGCAGAAGATTACCAAAGTTGCATCTTGAACACTACTTTACTTCGTTGGCTGCCTTTTCTGTTTGGATGAATTTTTCATAGATCATTGTGTTAAATATAATATTAGACCTTGGAATGCCAAAGAAATTAGTTAATCCAAATATTTTTAATCTTCTGAACAGCAACTCTTCACATCAACATTACTTTATTGACTTTTAAAAATTCATATGATCAACACATTTAAAAGAAGGCTTCAGAGAAGAATTGATGATTGATGATATGTTTTTATAGGATAAGTAGAGCTTTACTAGATTAATAAAGTAAAACAGAGCACTTTTTAAATAACTTTTAAAAAAGTTTTTTAAAATTTATTTTCAGAGAGAGGGAGGGTAAGGACGAAAGGGAGAGAAACAATGATGTGTGAGGGAAACATTGATTCATTGCCTATTGCATGACCCCAGTTGGGGACCTAGCCCACAACCCAGGCATGTGCCCTGACTAGAATTGAACTGGCAACCCTTTGGTTTGTAGGCCAGTGCTCAATCTACTGAGTCACAACAACTAGGGCAAAACGGAACACTTTAGAAGAGACTGTGCATTTAATATGTCTGTTGCATTATTCAGAGTGAGTATGATGTGGTAAATGACAGAAAGTGACTTTGTAAATTAGGTATTATATTGGATATAATACACCTTGAATGCCAGTCCAAGGAATTTCACTTTTTCCTATTTGTTGTATGGAAACTGTATATTCGTGATGGTTCCTAGCCTGGAGTAGATGATTAATGAGTGGTTTTCTCTAGTTGGGCAGAAGGGTATATGGAACTGTTCTCCTAGAAGAATACTTTGCTTTGGTGACACTTTATTCTTTCCACCATGATATTCTCTGTCAGCACATCACCTTTGTGAAATGTTCTTAATAGCTTAGTGCACTTGAAGAAGAAAAGGGTTATTATCTGAGTTGGTTTCCAGCATTATCCAGAGTCACTCAGATGTTTCAAATTTTCTTTCCAGTTTTGGGCATGATATGGGTATATATTTTAGACTCATGCTAGAGCAGTCTTTTTTAAAAAAAAATATACATATAAGTTTTTTAAAGATTTTATTCATTTATCTTTAGAGGGGAAGGGAAGGAGAGAGAGAGAGAAATATCAATGTATGGTTGCCTCTCGGGTGTCCCCCGCTGGGAACTGGTCTGAAACCCAGGTATGTGCCCTATCTGGGAATCGAACTGTGATCCCTTAGTTCGCAGGCCCACGCTCAATCCACTGAGCTACACCAGCCAGGGCTGGAGCAGTCTTAATTTTGCTGGACTGGTATATACTGCATTTAATCTGGGTTGTGGCAATGGGTATACTGTAATTCCACTTTTTTGAACTCTTGAAGAATTTTTAGAGACTTTTAGCCGCCAGATGAACATTAAGTCCAGGCCGTGCAAACCTTTATTAGTAGAGGAGAACAGGTATACCCATACCACTGATGCTGAACAGTTTTTCTTCTCATTCTTTCTTCTTGTTTTTGTTTTCTTTTCCTCTTCCTTCTTGAACTTTGAGTGCCACCAAGCACTGTGTACTTGCATTGGTTTTGTAACAACTGTGGACTATGATTGAGCTTCTCTACTTATGAGCTGTTTATTGGAAATTTATTCAGTTCTAAAAGCATTTCACTTAGTAATTAAATAAACAGATTTATTCTTTTTTATGTCAAAACAGATATGTTCTTATTTTTAAGGTGAAAATTCAAGTTGTTACAATTGTACAGAATTTAGTAAATATTTTTTTAAAGGTAGCACTGAAAAATCAACCACATTAGTCACTATTGCCAATATATTTTGTATAATTATAACATTTAAAATTTTCAGGATGCTTTTTATATATGAGAACTGAGTTGACCTTAAAACACTTAGAAATCTAGGAAGAAAAATACATGTTCTGTTATCTTAAAAATGAACAAGTTGAAGTTTTGAAAGAATAGTAACTTGCTTGTGGTTTGATTAATTTAATTTTTATGGTATAATTATGACTAAAAGACCAATTTCATGATACTCTGGTACTCCTTCATGTGAAAAAACAGGGTCATTATATTGCATATTATGTTGTTTCTCAAAGGTCTCATAAACATGATTATGCATAAGGTATTTTTCTTGATTCACTGTCAAGTGTGATACACTTTCTATATACTGATTGCCCTTTGAAATAATCAGAAATGTGTTGGTGCATACAAACCTTCTAAAAAATGAGTCACAGTTAGTTGAAACATACCACATCTAAAAATAGAATCTGTAAATAATTTTAGATATAAAAATAATATAAATTGCCCTGGCTGGTGTAGCTCAGTGGATTGAGCGCGGGCCTGTGAACCATATAATCGTGGTTCAGTTCCCAGTCAGGGCACATACTGGGGTTGCAGGCTGGTTCCCTGCAGGCCAGTTCCCAGCAGGGGACACATGAAAGGCAACCATACATTGATGTTTCTCTCCCTCTCTCCTTCCCTTCCCCTCTAAAGATAAATAAATGAAATCTTTAAAAAAATTTTTTAAAATAATAAAAATAATATAAATTAATTTCTATGGAATGGAAGTTTCCTTGTGTTTTGAGTTTTTGCTTAATAGTATTTCACATTTAGAAATTATGCCTATATTAATCAAAGTGTCCTTTCTCCAAACAGGCGAATGTACCCATCACCTCCCACCTGTGCAAGCCCCTCTTCAAACAAAGAAGAAAACAACAAAGCACTGTTTTCATTGTGGGAAGAAAACTAGACTGGCTACTAGCTACGAATGCAGGCATGTTGGCTAGCTGGAAAAATTGAGATGCTTTCTTTGTGGTGACCCAACTTGGAGATACAATATAAAAAGTTTTCAAAGTTGGTTATTTATAACATCATTAAGATGATGTTCATATAGTAGCCTTCATTTTAATTCCTCCTAAATTGGCTGAAGTAAAAATCAAGTAGATAGTTCATGAATTTCCAAATTTATGAGAACCTTCACTGCTCTTTAAATTAGGAGATTTAAACCAATGGGAGAGTACACTTTTTTGTCTTACGATAGATATTCCTGTCTTTGAGGATAACTTGAAAGAATCCCTTTAAGATTCTGTTTTAAATTTAACAAAAAAGGACTAAACTTAATGTAGTATCAATTTTTGGTACATGTTTATTTCAAAACAGATGAATAAGGTATTTATAAAAATAATTTTTCTACCCATAATTATTTTTTTCATTAGCATTGATTAATATGCTACAGTGATGGTGTCTCCTCTTAGATTGAGGCCAGACCTTAAAAATAACTGCTGCTTTTTAGAGTGTATTTTATTAAAATAGAAACAGCTTATCTTGTTACTGAAAAAAGTTTTAAAATCCTTCATGGCTCCTTCTTTCTGCTGTACAGAATTCCACTGTGTATATGTACCATAATTTTTTGATCCATTCATTTACTGATGGGCACCTAGGTTGCTTCCAGCTCTTGGCTATTGTAAATTGTGCTGCTATGAACACTGGGGTGCATAGGTTCTTTTGGATTGGAAAGAAGGAGCTCATACCCTTTGCAACAGCATGGATGGAACTGGAAAGCATTATGCTGAGTGAAATAAGCCAGGTGTTGAAAGACAAATACCATATGATCTCACCTTTAACAGGAAGCTAAACAACAAAACAAACAAGCAAGAAAAACAAAAACAAAAACACTGAAATAGAGAACAGGGGGACAGCAACCAGAGGGGAGAGGGGAGGGAATTTCAGGGGAAAAAGGGAAGTATTTACAGGAACTAGCATAAAGGACACATGGACAACTACTAAGGGGGGAGGAAATGGGAGGGAAGTGGGGGGTATGGGGAGGTGGGCTGGGAAGGGAGTAAAAGAAAGAATACTGTAGTTGAAAAATAATTTTTAAAATATAAATAAATAAATAAATAAATAAATAAATAAATCCTTCATGGCTTAGTTAGGTTTTATACTTCTCCCAGGTTTAAATAGTAGACATGTTTATCAGCTTTTGCATTTTACTACTTCATAAATGCTATATTTCATTCCGTAATATTTTCTTTATTATAAACTCTCATATTCATAGACAATTAATTTGTTCTTTTGGGGGTATTTGTGCTTATTTATGAGTAGAAGAGAAATGCCTGTGTTGAAATTGCTAAAGAGAACCAAAGGGTTCATGTACTACCTTAAGTCAAAATCTGATCTTTCAAAGAGACATGCCTTCAATAAAAATGTGACTATTTATATAAACTTTCTTTGTGCTTTAGATGTGGAAACAACTTCTGTGCATCCCATCGCTATGCAGAAACTCATGGCTGCACTTATGATTACAAGAGTGCTGGGAGGAGATACTTACAGGAGGCAAATCCTGTGATTAACGCACCAAAACTCCCCAAAATTTAACTCTTGCTCTGTACCTAACTGTTCTGGCTGAGGAACCATATTATAAGGACAGACAGAAGAAATATTGTTTAGACTGCATTAATTTTGTTCTACTCCAAAAGATTTGCCAAATAGCAAAAGTATACAATGCATATTGTTGGAGAATGAGAATGCTACTGTATTTGACATCTCTATTCTTTGGTGAATCAAAAGTTTTAAAAAGTTTTAAAAACTTTAAAGTAGAATGATTTTGCTTTGTTATTGCATACCTTATGTTAAATATTTTATATATTTCACATTGCAATTTTACCAGGCAAGTCTTCAAAAGATACACTTTACAAAGTTACTATTGACTATGTAACCATCTCCCACATTGTACAGAAATGACCTATCATATAATGGCACTAATCAAACTTACCACTTTTCTCTGGGGTTAGTGTGGGTGGGGATTTTTAAAAGAAAAATTCCACACTTGAAAGTTTATTCAGTTTAATAGCAAGTTCCTCATTATTTCATGCTACCTTTTATAAAAAGAAAGAAAGAACATTTGATTTTTCTGATGTGGTTTTAATACATGTAATTCTTCCATATTCATATTGGCATTCAGCTAGGTATCCACTCTATAAAACACATCATGTTATTATAGTACATATTTCTTAAAATACTACCTTTTAAATGGTATTTTTAAAATGGATGTCCCACTTGTTGCCATTAAATTCAGAACCTGACTTTTCACACATTGAAAAACAAAATCTCACACAGCTTGGTTTGTTTTTCTTATATGTTAAGTACTATTATCAGAAGAAATTCCAATAAATATTAAATTTTATTATGAGTTTCATTATTCGATAATTTCAAATAAATGTATGACCTTTGTTTTTGCTTAATCCCTTCACCTTTATTACCTAGTCCCCCTACCTGCCTACCCTGTGAGAGAGTTCTCTATCTATGAGTTTGTTTCTCTTTTGTTAATTTATTTTGTTCATTAGGTACCACATATATGTGGAATTGTATGATACTTGTATTTTTCTGATTGGTCTATTTCACCTAGTATAATACTCTGCAGGTCCATCCATGCAGTTGCAAAGGGTAAGATTTCCTTTTTTTTTTTCCCACAGATGAGTAGTATTGCCTTGTGTAAATGTACCAGGACTTTTTTTATCCACTCATCCACTGATGGGCACATGGGTTGCTTCCATATCTTGGTGATTGTAAATAATGCTGCAGTGAACATAGGGGTGCTTATGTTCTTTTGAAAAAAAAATGTTTGTTTCTGGTTCCTCTGGATATATTTCTAGAAGTGGGATTGCTGGGTCAAAATCATATCCACTTTTGTATTTTGAGGTACCCATACTACTTTCTGCAGTGGCTGTACCAGTTTGCATTCCCACCAACAGTGCACAAGCGTTCCCCTTTCTCCACATCTTCACCAGCACTTGTTGGTTTTTGATTTATTGATGATAGCCATTCTGACAGGTGTGAGATGGTATCTCATTGTGGTTTTTGTTTGCATTTCTCTGATACTTAGTGACACTGAGCATTTTTCCAAATGTTTATTGGCCATCTGTATGAACTCTTTGGAGAAATGTCTATTCTGGTCCTTTGTCCAATTTTTAATTGGATTTTTTTGGTGCTGAGTTTTTAAAATTTATTTTATTGATTATGCTATTATAGTTGTCCCATTTTTTCCTCCCCTTTACTCCCTTATACCCTGCACTGCCCCTCCCACCAGCATCCCCCCCACTTTAGTTCATGTCCATTAGTCATACATATAAGTCCTTTGGCTTCTCCATTTCCCATACTATTCTTTTTTTAAAGATTTTTATTTTTAGAGAGCAGAAGGGAAGGAGAAAGAGAGGGAGAGAAACATCAATGTGTGGTTGCTTCTCACTGACCCCTTACAGGGGACCTAACCCACAACCCAGGCATGTGCCCTGCTAGGAATTGAACTGACAAGCTTTTGGTTCACAGGCCCACCGTCAATCCTCTGAACTACACCAGCCAGGGCCCCCATACTATTCTTAACCTCCTCTTTTCTGTGTTGTACCTAACACTTCTACTTCTTATTCTCTGTACCTTTTCCCCCATTCTCCCCACTCCATGTGATCTACATTTCTGTGATTCTGTTCCTGTTCTAGTTGTTTGTTTAGTTTGCTTTTGTTTTTATTTTTGGTTCAGTTGTTGATAGTTGTGAGTTTGTCATTTTACTGTTCATATTTAGGATCATCTTTTTTCTTAGATAAGTCCCTTTAACGTTTCATATAATAAGGGCTTGGTGATGATGACCTCCTTTAACTGGACCTTATCTGGGAAGCATTTTATCTGCACTCCCATTCTAAATGATAGCTTGCTGGATAGAGTAGTCTTGGATGTGGGTCCTTGCCTTTCTTGACTTTGAACCCTTTTTGCCTGTACGGTTTCTTTTGAGAAATCAGCTGATAGTCTTATTGGAACTCCTTTGTAGGTAACTCTCCTGTCCTCTTGCTGCTTTTAAGATTCTTTTCTTATCTTTAGTCTTGGATAATGTAATTATGATGTGCCTTGGTGTGTGCTTCCTTGGGTCCACTTATTTGGGACTCTCTCAGCTTCCTGGAAGTCTATTTCCTTTGCCAGATTAGGGAAGTTCTTCTTCCTTATTTTTTCAAATAAGGTTTCAATTTCTTGCTCTTCCTCTTCTCCTCTGGCACCCCTGTGATTCAAATGTTGGAACATTTAAAGTTGTCCCAGAGGATCATAAGCCTCTCCTTATTTTTTTTGAATCCTTGTTTCTTCATTCTGTTCTGGTTGAATGCTTATTTCTTCCTTCTGGTCCAAATTGTTGATCTGAGTCCCGGTTTCCTTTTAATCACTGTTGGTTCCCTGTTCATTTTTCTTTATTTTATTTTACATAGCCTTCACTTCTTTCTCTATTTTGTGCTCATACTCAACCATTTCTGGGAGCATCCTAATTGCCAGTGTTTTGAACTCTGCATCTGATAGTTGGCTCTTCCCTGATTGCTTAGTTCTATTTTTGGAGCTTTGATCTGTTCTTTCATTTGGGCCATATGTTTTTGTCTTGGCCCACCTGTCATAGTGTAAGGGGTGGAGCCTTGGGGATTTGCCTGTGGATGGGGGTTGCGGCATGCAACTCACTTTGCTTCATTTTGGCCCTGTACATATGAGAGAGGTCTGAGAGGGAACAATGACACTTATTCAGCTCTCAGCTGGCTTTCAGACACTTTCCCCACTGCCCACATGCAAATTGGGCCCTTCTGGTGCTAATTCCCAGGTATGTGGGTTTGTGTACATTTTAGGACTCTGTGGGCCACTCCAACGAACTCTTCTGTGAGGCTGGGAGTTTCTCTCACCACTGAAACCCCCACATATTTTATAGTCAGAAGGTTTGAGGCTTTATTTCCCCATGCTGGAACCCTGCTTTGTGAGGTCTGTCTGATTCCCCAGTTGTTTCTCCCAGTTCATCTGTACACAAATGTGGGACCACCTGCTTTGCCAGCCACCACTTTGCCTGGTCTGCCAGCTGCCACTTCATCCACTCTGGTCCTTCACCTATACCACCTTGCCATGATTCCCCTCTTCTCTGGCTGCCCGTCCTCACCCCTACAGGTCTGGATGAATGTTTCTTTTTTAACTCCATGATTGTTGGACTTCCATACAGTTTGATTTCCTGGCAGTTCTGGTTATTTTTGTTTATAATAAAATGTGTTGTCCTTCTTTTGTTGTGTGAAGAGGCAAACTATATCTACCTATGCCTCCATCTTGGAAGAAAGTCTTTTTCACAAGTTGTTTATAAATTTTGAATATTAACTCCTTACCAGATTTGTCATTGGCAAATATGTTTTCCTGTTCAGTATGTTGTCTTTTCATGTTGTTGATGACTTCCTTTGCTGTGCAAAAAAATTTTAGTTTTATGCAGTCTCACTTATACACTTTCTCTTGTTTCACTTTTCTGAAGAGATATATAAGAAAAAATATTGCTATGAGAAATGTCTGATATTTTCTGCCTATGATTTCTTCTAAGATTTTTAATTTATTTGTTTTTTTAGAGAGGGGAGAAGGGAGGGAGAAAGAGGGAGAGAAGCATCAGTGTGTGGTTGCCTGTCATGCACCCCCTACTAGGGACATAACCCATAACCCAGAACATGTGTGTTCTGACTGGGAATTGAACTGGTGACCCTTTGTAGCAGGCTGGCACTCAGTCCGCTGAGCCACACTGGCCAGGGCTCTTCTCAGATTTTTATGGTTTTGAATCTAATATTTAAATCTCTTATCCATCTTGAATTTATTATTCATTTTGCATAGAATTATTTTATGTGTTTAAATAAACAGGCTCAGATTTGCTAGCTATGTAGTGGTTAAGCTCAATGTTCAATCCCTGATATTCTTTTCTTCTCTGTTCTTACATTCTGCATCCTATTGTCTCCTTAATATTTCCTTCCTTATTATCACTATTAGTTATTTTGCTATAAAATATGACATCTTCATACTTTTTAACCAAGACTTATGCTTTTCAGTTTTTATGTTTTTCTTTATTATATTTTGTATTACCATTTACTTACCTTATACTGTCCTCCCCCTGACAGTCACCACCCTGTTGTGATATCCCTGTTATGAGTCCTTTTTCCTTTTTGCTCAGTCCTTCCACACCCTAAACATCCCCCACACTAGCTGTCAACCTGTTCTTCATCTATTAGTCTGACCCCATTTTACTTGTTACTTCAGTTTGTTCATTAGATTCCACATATGAGTGAAATCATGTAGTATTTGTCTTTCTCTGACTGGCTTATTTCACTTATCATAATGTTCTCCAGGTCCATCCATGCTGTTGCAAAGATAAAATTTTCTTTTTCACAACTGAGTAGTTTCCATTGTGTAAATGTCCCATAGTTATTTTATCCACTTATCTATTAATGGACACTTGTGCTGCTTCCATATCTTGGTGATTATATAATGCTGCAGTGAACATAGGGGTGCTTATGTTCTTTTGAATTAGTGTTTTGGGTCCCTTTGGATATATTCCCACAAGTGGGATTGCTGGATGAAAAAGCATACCCATTTTTACTTTTTTTGAGGTATCCACATACTGGTTTCCAGGGACTGCACCAGTCTGCATTCCCATCAAGAGTGCACAAGGAGACTTCCGGCCAAGATAGAGGCATAGGTGGAAACACTGTACCTCCTTGCACAACCAAATTTAAGGACAACAAGATTTAGAAACCAAAACACAACCAGAACATACAGAAAATTGAACTGTACCAAGTCTGACAACAACAAACCATTCATCCAGACCAGTAAGAGGGGCAGAGTAGGTGGCTGGCAGAGAGGGGTCCTGGCAGGAAAAGGCAGTGGTTGGCACACCCAGGGGAGGAAACAAGCAAACCCAGTGAGATGCGCAAGGTGGCTGGCTGACCACGGACACACATTCATGCTCAGATAAACCAGGCAAAAAAAGGGCAGTGAGACAAACCATGCAACCCAGTGCCCCACTGCCGGGAAATCAAGCCTAAAAGCACCAATTGAAAAAAAGTGTGGGGGTTGAGGTGCCAGGAGAGGCTCCCAGCTTCACTAGAGAGTTTGTTGGAGAGAGCCACAGGGTCCTAGAATGTACACAAGCCCACCCACCCAGGAATCAACATCAGAAGGGCCCAATTTGCTTGTAGGAAGCAGCAGAGGGGACTGAAATCCAAGAGAGAGCAGAGCAAGTGCCATTATTTCCTCTCTGACCCCCCCCCCACATACAGTGTCACAACACAGCCACTGGGTTGCCCGGCCCTGGTGAACACTTAAGGCTCCACCCTCATATGTAACAGGCACGACCTGACCAAAAATGGCTCAATCAGAAGAACAAATCAAAATCCCTGAGCCAATGCTTTTAAGTGACCAAGAGATAGCTAACCTATCAGATGCACAGTTCAAAGCACTGCTGATCAGGATGCTCACAAAACTGGTTGATTTTGGTTGCAAATTAGATGAAAAAATGAAGGCAACACTAAGTGATATGAAGGAAAATGCACAGGGAACCAATAGTGATGGAAAGAAAACAGACTCAAATCAATGGAGTAGACCATAAGGAAGAAACAAACAAACAGAAAAGAATAAAGAAGCAATAATTCAAAAACATGAGGAGAGGCTTAGGAACCTCCAGGACATCTTTAAACATTCCAACATCTGAATTATAGGGGTACCAGAAGGGGAAGAGGAACAGAAACAAGTGGAAAACTTATTTGAACAAATAACAAAGGAGAACTTCTCCAATCTGCCAAAGGAAATAGACTTCCAGGAAATCCAGGAAGCTCAGAGAGTCCCAAAGAAGTTGGACCCAAGGAGGAACACACCAAGGCACATCATCATTACATTAGCCAAGCTTAAAATGGAAAGAATTCTAGAAGCAGCAAGAGATAAGGGGACAGTCACCTACAAAGGAGTTCCCATCAGACTTTCAGCTGATTTCTCAGAAGAGACCTTACAGGCAAGAAGGGGCTGGAAAGAAGTATTCCAACTCATGAAATCCAAAGAGCTACATCCAAGATTGCTCTATCCAGCAAAGCTTTCATTTAGAATGGAAGGGCAGATAAAGTGCTTCCCAGACAAGGTCAAGTTCAAGGAGTTCATTATCACCAAGCCCTTATTATATGAAATGGTAAAGGGACTTATCTAAGAAAAAGAAGATAGATAATATGACCAGTGAAAGGACAGCAAACTCACAGTTATTAACAACCACACCTAAAACAAAAGCAAAGTAAGTGGACAGCTAGATCAGGAGCAGAGCCACAGAAATGGAGATCACATGGAAGGGTAGCAATGGGAGTAGGAGGAGTAGAGGGGAGGAGAAGGTACTGAGAATAAGTAGCATAGACAGTGGGGAGGAAATAGGGGGAGGGCAAGAGTAGTGTGGGAAATGTAGAAGCTAAAGAATTTATGACACATGGACATGAACTAAAGAAGGGGAATGTGGGGCGGAGGGGTGTGTAGGGTGGAGGGGAATGAAGGGGGGAAATTGGACAACTGTAGTGGCATAATCAATAAAATATATTAGAAGTGAAAAAAGAATTAATTAAAAATTTTAAAAGTGTACAAGAGTTTGTTCCCTTCTCTCCACATCCTCACTAGCACTTGGTGTTTTTTGATTGATGATAACCATTCTGACAAGTGTGAGATGGTAACTCATTGTGGTTTTTGTTTGCATATCTCTGATAATTAGTGACATCAAGAATCTTTCCAGGGA